TAAATATTTATAAATAGTAGTGACTTAAATCTGTTTCCTATAGCATATTTATTTTTATTTGACCATTTGTGAAACATTTATTGTCTACCTTTCTAAATGTACTTTGTTCTACTTGACAAGGAATGTAACTAGGTATAACACATGATCATTCCACCAAAAAGTTCCCAAGTCACTCAGAAGGTGGTACATATAAAACCAACTATGATATGAAATAGAACATGACAGATAATATACAGAGTTCTACAAAATAAGCACAAAAAGGATTAATGCAACTTGTTGGATCAGGAACAACTTTCTAAAGGAGATTTCACTTTGTTATATTTTAAAGGATAAGCAAGACATAGGAATGGGAAGGTGAAGGAAAAGGCAATCAAGGGACAAGATATAATATAGAGAGGCAGGAAGGCAGAGAACTATGGAGCAAGTGTAAGGCTTAGTGACAAGTCTGGCTGGAGTATGATTAAGGTACCTAAGAGAAAAGCTTGAAAAGTACTGGAACTTGGTTTCTGGGAAGATGATTTAGCCTCCTGCTAAATGCAACTAAAATTCCTGTTGGCAGGAGTGTGTAAATGAGACAGAAGATCTCAGAAATTATTATATTCCAAATTAACAAGTGAATTACAACTCCAACAGAGAAAATGTGGACTGTAGCTTTTGAATCACCTCTTTTAAAGCCCTCTGTTCCTGCAGATGGGCAGAATCAGTGTCTGGGACAGGAGTCCCCTGTGTTTCTCCTTTCCTTTGCTAGCAAAGCAATAAACTTTCTTTTTCCTTTTTCTCAAAACTGTGTCCCTCATTATTGGATTGGCATCAGGGACCAGGACTGAGCTTTCAGAAACAGTTTCATGCATTCTTTCCCTAATTACAAACACAAAATGGGTTCATTTTTAAACTTTTATATAACTTGGACCATCTTATACATTGATTTGAAATTTTCCTTTTTAACTCAATAGTGTATCACAATCATGTTCCATATCATTGAATATTATACAATATTCTTATATCTATTAGTGACTTCATTTACTATCATAGTCAGTAACATATTTGACTACTTATTGATTGTTGAAGTTTTATTTTGATTCTAGAATATTACAAGTTATGCTACAATTACTGTCACTGTCTAAATTCATAAATTCTTAGATTTTATTTATTAATATGTTTATATAAATCCATAGTTCATACTGTACTCAAAAATTGTACCTGATCCTAAATCAYAACTGATGTGACAGAGTTAAAGCCCTGTTATGGTTTAGATGTTAGGTGTACCCCAAAAACTCATGTGTGAAAAAAATGGGATAAGGTTTAGAGATGAATTTTTGGGGTTATAAGAGGTTTACCCTAATTAGTGAATTAATCCACTGATAGGAATTAACTGGGTAGTAACTGTTAATCCCTGGAAGGGATTACAGTGTGGCTAGATAGGGGTTGGTCCCTGGAGTCAGCCTTCCCTTTTTGTCCTTGTTGTGTCTGTCTGTCTGTCTGTCTGTCTGTCTGTCTCTCTCTCTCTCTCTCTCTCTCTCTCTCTCTCTCCCCCCACCCCCATTCTCCTTCTCTCTCTCTTTCTCCTTCCCCTTCCTCCCTCCCTCCTTCCCCATATGAAGTCCATGACCACTTTCTCCATGATATTCTGCCTCAAGCCCCAAGGAATGGAGCCAGCCATCTATGGACTGAGACTGAGTCCCCAGATAAACTTTTCCTCCTCTAATTGTTCTCATCAGGTCCTCTGGTTACTGCAGCAAAAAAAAAAAAAAAAAAATGACTAAAACATGGGCCAAAGGGAAAAACAAAACAAATCCAGGGTACTTCCTTAACCTCCTCTTAAATTGGACACATACCTCCAAATCTCCAGATATCAGCCTGGTCACCTATATAAATGAGGGCCTTGCATGCTAGGTCATAAAACGCTTTCTCATAGATACTAGAATACAAGGAGTAAGAATGCTTTGTACTCAAAGAAGAAAAATGACAGACTGGCCAGATATTTTGGTCTTTACCAACTTCACTTTCAGAAAAATCAGTGGCATCTCCTTTCCTAAAAGGCAAGAAGGGACATTCAGATAGGGAAAAAAATGGGGCAAGAAAGGGGAAAGCTTTCCAATGCTAGGCTAAACAGTAACATATTTGAAGAAGATTCAATAATGAAAGCAGAGAAAGAAAGGGAAGAGAATAAAAACACAATGGAAGTATTTCTCACTTTATTTTATTCTGGGTCCTTCAAGAAAAAAAGAAATAAGCAATA